ATGGCCAACACTATGGAGAGGATGGCTTCCATCCCAAATTCCACTCACCCAATTGGTGATGGCATTCTCTGCTGCCTCTGACTGTTGTTTGAAGATGACAGTGATGATCATACACCCTCTCAAAAAGTTGTCATAAAGTCATGTTTGGAAGAGAATCTTCTCATGATGTCCTTCCTGAGACACTCATTCATGACATGGTGATATAGAATTTGGCAGGTTTTAGTCATGCAGGGGTCAAATCAATGGAGTCATAAGGAGTTCAAACCTATAACCTCACCAGCATGATCTATAGCAAATGAGCTCATCCAGTGGAAGTACAACTATTTTATGTATTCTAATTCTGAGACTTGAAAAAAGAGTGCTTTGCTTCTGGCTCCCTTTCTTTCCCATGGTAAGAAAAAAACTAAAAGCAGCTTCAGAGGAGCAACAGTCAGTTCCATAGCTGAAGACTGCCCTCCAAGAATGGGAATGTGGGGAGGAGCAATGACCATGGCTGTGAACATAGTGGGTGTATCATAAGAGGTTGACACTTGAGATTACATGACAAATGGGAACAGACTAATCCTACATACAGGCAAAGTTCTCCACCAAGGAGAATAGAGGCTCTTGCCAGACCCCACTAGCATAAAAATACCTACCATTTACTGAATACCATGGACCAGGCATAATGTTCTAAATGCAATATAATCTTCACAATCACCTTAAAACAGAGGTGCTTTGTTAATTCCATCTCACAAATAAGAAACCAAAGCTCATGAATGTTTATTGTTTAAGGTTACAAGGCCTGAAGTGGCAGATATGGGATTCAAAACCAAGCTTTTCTGACTCAAGTGACTGTTATTTGTTTTTCTCATCACACTTTTTATTACTATTAATATAAAGTCCAAATAAGGGACATGATTTTGGGGAAAGACGCAGTGGAGAATGCCATTAATGTATCAACCTACTTACAAACCAAGAAAGGATTTATTTACAGACATTCATCCACTGGTTCAACCTTTTTTGAGCATTTGTTCTAAGCTAGGAATTGTGTCCATGCAACTGGGAATCAGGAAATTATCAAAAGATATCAGGTCTCAGGACTTGGAGACAGAGGGAGAGCAGCAAAATTCCAGGAGCTGCTGGGAATAAAGACCAACCACCAAGATAGAGCAGTGGCCCCAGAGTGACTAAGCAGGAGACAATGAAGAAGTAGCCTCTCAAGCAAAGGTGTTGGGAGTGAAGAAAACCACTATGACCTCAGCATGCAACAGGCTCAGGAAACTGGACCAGGAATGAACCCTTCCTGAATATGGGACTGGTGGTCAGTATTGCCTACTCATTTATTTTTTTTTTAAATATTTTTTTTTAGTTGTAATTGAACACATTACATTTATTTTATTTATTTATTTTTATGTGGTGCTGAGAATTGAACCCAGGGCCTCACACATGCTAGGCAAGCACTCTACTGCTGAGCCACAACCCCATCTCCCTGCCTACTCATTTATGTAAATAACAGGCTATTACAGGGGTAGAGCAGGAAAGGGGTGGCCAAAGACCACCTCAACCACCATGGTTCTTCCGCAACAGTGAAAATGCCCCTTAAACCGTGAGCCCTGAGGGCCACCCTTACTGTGAGGGAGCCACTGTGTGTACCATAAAGAGGATGCTGCTGGGGCTCAGGACATGATACTAACAAATATGGCACCCGGGAGTACTGAGCTGAAAGAAACTGAGAAAACAGCAGGACAGTCACTTTGATTTCACCCTTACCTTTCTCTCCTAAGGCATGATCATAAAAGAAATTCTGACCTACCTTGCCTGAAATAGATTGTAAGACCCTCATTGGAGAAGGGCCCTGCCATGTATCTGGAAGCCAAGAGGACTCTGAAGGAACAGTTCTTGCTAAATTCCCCCCAATTTATTACCTTGAAGTCAAACTCCCTTTTGTCCAATCATATTTCTAACACTACTATCTGTTCCTCTCCAAACTTCAGCATAAAAATAGTTTTCCCTGTGTCTGTGGGTCATTTCTAAAGGTCCTGTGTCATGTAAAATTCTCTCCTTAATCTTTATTAGAGGGATATCAACCACAAATTTTTCAATGGGCGAGGAAAGATACAATATTCTTCCATACAGAGGCTAACTACACACCTTCACATGCTGAACTAAAACTTCACGACTTCACATGCTGAACTAAAAAAGAAGTCTGAGCAGGTATTTTCAGTTTGGCATGTCCCAAAGTATGTTCCTTGGATCTATGGTTTCCACATATCCTGGTTGGCTGAAGATAGACTCAGTTTATTCCTGTTGTCTTGGAATAATCATTAATAGTATCCTACTTTCCTCTCAAAATGGTTCCAGTTTGGACAATAAGTTAAATAAATGGATACTTAACTCAGAAAACCACTTCTGGAATATCAAGAGCTGTGCTGTCTTTCTCTGAACCTTTACTATCCCAAACAGTGTTGTAAGCCTTGAAGAATAAAATTATACTATAAAACTACTTTGATTAAGGAATTTTTCTTAAAAGCAAAACATCTATTATTAATCTGTATGATTACTATTGTGCCATGTATAATTGGAAAATATTAACTTACAGTTAAACAATTTGTTTTTATAATATATGTCTTTCTAGGAATTTAAAATATTATTAGCATACAGTGAGCTACTGTTCTAGAGAGGGGAAGACACAATAAATGTGTAAGCAATTAATATTATAATTAGGAAAACAATGATTTATTCCCCCAGTTATTAAGGTCAAAATAAAAGACACACCACCTAAGAATTCCAATGGACATTTGTAAAGTCACCTGGCTTCCAACACAAGTTAGCATGATTCATGTCTGTCAAAAGCCATTGTTGGACATCTTGTTTCCTGAGTGCAAGAAAGTTCCCTTAATCAGTCTCCCACCTTGACCTGAGGTGGGCTTCATTGGTAGTCTCATCAGTAAAGATGTGCTTGGGAGGTGGGGGGAGTCCATCTTCCTTTGGTTTTTGTTTATTGACCATAATTATCATATGTATCTTTTATTCCCTGTCCTATCTAGACTGAGGTGTTATTTACAACAGCATGACTTTCAAAAGAGAACTTTTGTTGGTGCCTAGCACCCAGGGAATAGATTAGAACAAAAGGAGGTTTATTACACTCTAAGCACACATTCTGCCCCCCAGGACTGGGAAGTATCGAGGAGGTGCTTAAAGACACTCACTCACACACACATGCTCCTATCCTTTGGTGGATTCTGTGCAGAGTAGAGATGCACGCTTAATGAATACGCCAAGTTAAAAACTTTCCCTCCTGGAACAAAGCAGGAGAGCCTCTTTATGTTGCATGGACTGCAGATGCCAGGAGCTGAGCCTGTCCCAAAGCTGCCCTCCACTGCTCAGAAACTAAGCCATCTTGCTGCGTTTAGCACTTCTCCCCAGACCACCCACCCAGACACCGATACACAAACCACATGTGCGAGGAATGCTGTTCGCTAGGAAATCCGTATCAGTATTTCAACCTTATTACTTGCACAGACTACCCTTTTAGTGTGACTCATTTGTTTTATCTTTTCAATAGCTTTGATTATTTTCTTTTAATGGCCTGGATTTATCCTTTTCTACCCTTTTGAAACTTCAGAACTCTGGGGTGGGGGGTGCATGTAGTGGAAGACGTGATTGTAAGAGGAAAAACATGCTCATGGCTTTGCCTTGTGTTCCTTGTTAGTCCCTATTCCACATAGCCACCTACTTTGTGCAGATTGCCCAGGGACCCGATAACCACCCCACATTATAGAAGTAGACTCAAGGACCTCCTTGCAGGGGGTGTATTATTTCTGTTGTTATTTAACAGTTATAGGGTCCAGTTATAATTACTGGAGTGATATTAGTTTGGGCCATATATTTCCCTTGCCAGCTCTTGGGGATCATTTTGGTTACTCTTCTTTAATTAAGAGGAAATTAAGACCCAGAGGCTAAGCTGAAAGCCAAGGGCAATTTAACAACCTTTGAAATAGACTGGAAATGCCTCTACAGAAGGGGACCACATAAACAGGAAGGTGTGGATACTATTACCTGGTGGAGAAAGCAGAATCGTTGAAATATGCTTGGTATTTTCTATTTGGGTGGTATCCTGACCAAGGAAACCAGTAAAATACCCTTAGCTGCTCCATAATCAGAAAGAAGTAGAAAAAAGAAAAAGCTGCTAGTTTTAGACAGTCTATCTCTAAAATACCATGGAGGTCTGTGTCAACCTTGATCTGTCATCTTTCTCCAGGTTTCCTTGCATATCCCAGTGGGGACACTGCTCTGAGATAATGGAACAAATGTACTAAGAAAAACCATGTGACACAGTGCACTCCTGGAGTCGGCTTTAGTAGGCTCATGATAGTCATCTTGACTCTCCCCACACTGGAGAAGATGCTAGGCTATTATTTTACATACATACACAAATGAACATCTGCAGTAAAATAAGAAAAACAGATCAGTCTAATTCACGTGTGGCAATTAGTAAGTTTTGCTCACCTAAAGCCAGTTTCTAGCTGATCAAAGACAAAGCAGTCTACTGCAATCCCCTATAGGGTTTGTTGGTCTGAATGAAGAGAAGGTCAGTTTTTCAAATTTGATGTCTCTTCACTAATGAGTATCCTATTTAATTTCCTTGATTATTTGCCAAACTCAATGTATTTTAATTTCCCTTTGTTGTAGTAGTTTCTATCCTTCCTTTCAAATCAAGTTAGCATGCTCTGGTACTAAAATAAATACTTTGTAATATCAACTCTGTCTAGCTATAGCTAGACAATTACTATATCAACCCTTCCAAAGGAGTAGGGGGGGGAAGGATGCACATATAAATTGCCCTCAGCAGGTTTGAGGCACACTACCAGTTCTCTGGTTACCTCAATTCTTTTCATTCTTTAGAAACAGCATCGCTGTATGACAAGAGGCTTATTTTTCTTGAATTGCAAAGTAGAACCAAACTGATCAAATAAATTTGTAAGACTATATATTGTTAAAAAAAAAAAAGAGCCACAATAGATTAGGCATGAATTTAAGTAAAACACCTATTTCTGTCAATCTGTACTTACATTTCAACATGGGTTTTAGAGATGGCAAATACATCTTACGTGTGCCTTGTAGTTCACATAAAAGCATGTACACACACATACACAGTGTATCTTTCAACATAACTACACATACACACTCCATTAAAAAGATACTGACAGATTTATAAAACGTATTGGCCTTGCACTGTTAATCTCAAGAATACATTTTTACTTAATTTATTTTTGCACTGCATGGTAGCTCTGGCCACCGTTAAGGATCTGTCAGCATTTCCATCATAACTCTATTTTCAGAATACTGGAGTACAAGTGCCAAAGTACATATTTACAGTTTACAGACAGTGGTGGCTTTGTCTTCCTTTTAAATTGACTTCTTCAATGCATCTTTACAAGGAATATTCGGGGATGGCAGTGCCTACATAATAAAAAGCATCATATAAAACAGAAGAGGTCAAAAGATGTCGACTTGCAGCCCAAGACTAACCTACACCATGGGATTCGACTCCTTCGCGTTCACTGCAGCTGTAGTAGTCTCTACATCATAGTCATAGTTTTAGAGTGACAGTCCAAAGCAAAATTACTCTGATAATATATATATATATATATATATGTGTGTGTGTGTGTGTGTGTATAGGTATATAAATATAGGAGCAGTACACAGCATTTAGTACACAGACACTAAAGGTGGAAAGTAATAAGCACACAGCAAATTACTCCGAGCTGATCACTTCCACAGTGAGAAAAATGAACACGAGCCACCAAACACAGACATTGACCATTTCCAACACTGAACATCCAACTCTATTAAATAGGTAGAGCTAAAACATTTAAGAGTAAAGTCTCTCTTAAACAAGTGTTAACTACATTTGTGGGGCTTGAAATGGTAAACATTATGTTATGCAGGCCTAAATTGCCATTTGTTTGCTTTTTAAAGATTAGGTGGGTCTGTAAAAGGTATCAGCAAAAACTGTTTTTGGTGGAAGAAACTTTCTAGTGGAAGAAAACCAATTTTATTGGCTCTTTCCACAAAAAGGTGAATGATTCATTTACAGAGTTTTGCTTAGCAAATTTAAAAATGTTTAGGACATTCTTACGAGGTCTTTTTTTCCCCCTAAACTCTTGTCTCCTCATCTATACTTTGACACAATATGTAAGCATATATAGACATTTGTTCACATAGAGAGAGGGACGGGTCATGGCAAAGATACAGAATAACTGCAAACATCTGCTAATATAACTGGTGTATCCTAAGACAGAAGAACTCCCTCTCACACACCTCCTGCTGCAAAACCAGAAGCAAAAGCTAATTTATAAAGGGCGGCTGAAAGCACAAATTCTGTACATACATTTTTCCACCTCAAATCACAGGGGAAAACTTTGAAGACAGTTTATCATACTCTGGCTGGTTCAAACCATATTCACATTTGCCCAATTAACTTTATCTGAAACATCTATTTATATATATATATCAAGGAAATTAAACCCTGCCATTTCCCCTTTGTGCTTAAAAAAACCAAAGCCACTAGGGTACACGTTAAGAAAATTCTCAACAAGTTTCAAAGGTGAGTATGCATAAATGGGGCAGAACTGAGCAAGTGACTTTATGAAAAGTCTTAATAACTCTGAGATTTAACAGAGAGAGGATTTATTACTTCTGTATTTAAAAATCACATGATGAAGACCAGAGCACTGCTTCAAAAAACAAAAACACTCCAAATCTAGCTAACTATTAGAATTTTGTGGGAAACACATTTTGCTATCTGGATAATAGGAGGTTGGCAAGTTTTTCTAAAACTTGTTACTAGTTTATAAACGTACATGGTATGCTATTTGGAAGACATGTGATTATCTAATATTCAGGTCTAAAGTATATCACTGTAATAGCTGCCCTTATTTATTTTATTTTCCGGGAGGAAAGTATTTTTTGTTTTTTTTTTTTGTTTTTTTTTTATCTGACCTAGTTTCTTGGTTACTACCTTATGGGAAAAAAAAAATCTCTACATTGCCAAATCAAAAATTTTGCCACACAATTTAGTTACAAAAATAAAAATGGCCCAAATTACAAAGAGATATATTAGTTTAACCACATAAATTTCTGGTTTAGTGAGAATATGTGAATTAGCAGTCAGAAATATTTCCATATAAGCATTTCCCTCCCCTTTCACTTGTAAAGTTAAGAACAAACTATAACTAAAACCACACAATTCATCAGTCACCTAATGTCCAAAATAACTTGGAAAGTATCATCTCTGTAATTGCACATTGAGAAGTAGACTACAATAACGAATGCTTCAAGTACAGTTCATGCCAATCATCATAAAGAATCATAACATTCTTGAAAGTACACTTGTCCTCTGGGAGGACACTTCAGAGAAGTAATTTACAAGGAGCATGGCTGTATTATAATTTTTTTAAAAGGAAAAAATAATTTCTTTGGATAGAAAGAAACAGTGTAAAAAATGCTCTTTTTAAAATGCAGAAATCACTCCATTATCAATCTGCATTTACATTACTGCCTACTAAAAGAATGGGTCTGGAGAGACCATTTTCTGTACAGACACTAGTTAATCTCTGAATGAAAAGACAGCATCTGGCATAGGAGCAAACGAGGGAGATCCTGGTCTATTAGCACAGAGACTTCCTTAAGGCTGATCCAGGGACAGACCTTTGGATCCAGAAGCATTTCTTCCTTTCTTTTCATTGTGGTTGAGTTCCTAGTAAAGACCTGGAGGATGAGCTGTTCTCACTTTTCATTTCTCCATTTATGGAGAGGATAGAATAATGACACCAAAAAGTACTTTGGTTTTTTTTTTTCTTTTAAAAAATAATTTGCTTTCTTTTGCATGCCACAGGACAGAGTTCTAGTTCCAAAACAAGGGTACAAGAACAAAAATATCCCCCACCCCCCAACCATCTTTACTTTCACCAATACAGGAAATCCTTCTGGAAACATTAGCAAGGGACTAAACAGGTTTCGAACCACTGAATCTACAAGTTAATACACAGTCTGTTATGGCAGAATAACCAAGATTTTTCCCCCAAAGAAAGATTTTAATTTTTCAAATATAAAAGAGTCTAAGAGAATCGTATGTGAACAAACAAAACTCTGATTCCTGGTTTTACAATAAAGATGAATACCAAGCTGGCAGCTGAAGAGAGCTGAACCTCTAATAAATAGATCCAAATTAAGAATTTCTACATTTCTTTAGAAAACAGGATTGGAATTTTTTTTTTCAAATGCTGATCCTGTGGAATGCCTTTACTTCCATATTTGCCTAATATTGTAACAGTAAAACAGACACAAGAATGTCGGTTGACAGCTCGACAATGCTGCAGTCAGGACGTTTACAGGTACGCTCTTGTATAAGTCCTACAGGTTTATTGACTAAGGCTAGACAGCAAGTCATATGATCCTATTTGGTGCCTTTTCTACCATGGTCCAAGATCATTACATGGATACAGCCAAGGTCTGGCCCCAACTTTCAGAAAAAAGACCACAAAGAAGAAAATCAAAGTGGCTATTTGGTCCCCCCAGTTGAAAATTTGTGTCCTGGGACTGGAAAAACAAAAGGTGGAAAATACAGACTGCAACAAGTTAAAGGACTTGGAAAAAGTTGGTGGAAAGTGGCACGGTATACAAGTAAGGTCACTGGGCTTGGGATGGCAAGGGCGCTGCATTGAAAGAGCATCCACGGGACCAAGTACTCATAATGTCTGGTGGTGTCATTCCCTCAACGACTTTAGAATATCTGTATGCGATAATAAATAGATCAGTTATGTAATAAGGCAGTGTGTTGAGTATGCGTTCGTCCTGTGGAATGAACCACCACGGAGAGAGACATGATACCATACACATTCTTTAAGTTTTCTTGTATTGTGTTTGCTTTGTTTGTTTTCAAGGCTATCCAGGCTAACTCTTCCCGGGGATTTCCTTGGAGAGAAGAGTGGTCCGCTGAGGCTGGTTTGCTTAACCTCTCCTTTATCAAGAGATGATGACTGGCTTTAAAGGAAAATAAAGCTGAAGGTTGTTTGATTTTTATTTTTTCCCTTTTGGTTGCATCATTCTGAGTGTTTTCATATAAACAACGATAACAAAAAAAAAAATCACAACCAAAAAAAAAAAAAAGCAATAGTTTTTGATGCATCCAGTTGTTGTATCCTCAGGATGTTCCAGATGTTTCCAGGTAACTCTGTAGTTTACGGACTGTAGTTTTGTCCAGCGAGCAAAGATCAAAATCAAATGTTGTGTTTGTGATATGAAAGTGTCCAGTTTCTTCTATAAGGTTCACAATCTGAAGGAGTAAAGAAAAAAAAGTTTGAGAAATAAGTAACAGACATCAAAAGGCCCAGATTAAGAGATGGAGGGGCTCAAACATGGATCCAAGTGATAAACACCCTTATTTATAATGAGAAGGTCCTATAAAATCAAAAGTACCTTACGTAGCCAGTTTGGTAAGTCAAATAAACATAAAGTCTTCGAAAAATTCTCACAGAAAACAGACTTATTTGTTCTCAATTTTCATCCTTTTAAAATGCTGCTTTCAAGTCAACAAGAGAATATTTTCCTTGGGTGGGTGGTTAGGGAGAAAGAAAATTTCAAGACTTCTATAAAAATTAGTTCCTGATCAATAGACAGTGACTATGCTTAACAGACATAAACAAACTTCAACCTAGAAATAACATAACTTCTTTAAAAAAACAACACATGCAAACAAAAAAATAATCATTTTTATTTCTGAGTACATAATTATTGAAAATTTAGACAGTATAGAAACGCACAAAGAAAATAATAGAAACTACGTACAACCCCCCTGATGAACACAGTATTGAGTATGGGCCCCCGGGGACCCCCTATGTCACCAGGACTATTTTGTTCTCTAATCTGGATACTGGTTACACACCCCATGTTCACTTTGTAGCTGTACATGTTCTGCTACTTTTATACAAATACATACAAATGTTTATTACTTATAGTTGTGCTCAGCTATTCCCTTGAGTATTCCGGAGAGAAAAATTTTATGTAGAAAAAGAGAGGATGCCAATGTCTCCCCAATTAGAACAAGATACACTGCATTTCTGTTTTGGCTCCAACTTATGGAAAAATGACATGTTAAATGGCAGTGATGGCAGAGGTGGTATTCTCTTGCCAAGGCTTGTAGCAGGACAGTTTTGAAATTTCAATATGAAGAATGATGTTGGGTCTGGGTGTGAGACATTCTTTTCCCATGTACTGTCTTTCTACTCCAATGTTACTAATAATCTTATCAGAAATGGATACTGGGCCTGGGCAGTGGGGTTTTTAACTAGGTGTGTTAATGGTTCAGAAATGGGATGGGAATTAACTTTAGCAATCTTTGAGAGGGAGGAAAATCAGCCTTAGGGCAAGAGAAAGAATATTTGCACAAAGTGAACACTTGGCAAACTTCCACTTCTCATTTGTCTGTATTATTCCCTTTCTATCTCCTGATTCTAAATCTCTTTAGTTCAATAATTTTAAGAATTTTAAATTATTTACCCTATGATTTATTCAATTAATTTTTGGATTATCTGATGCCAATCTGAAAACCAGCAGAATTAAGACTTTTCACCTTCTCTTATTACACTTACTTTTCCTTGAAACATCTGTGAACTATTCCCTATGGCTCAGTGGGTCTTACCAGAAAAAGTGTTCCCCATTCCTGATGCTATTTTTTTTAAATCTCAACAGAAGCATATTAGACATATTAAGCCTAAATCTAATTAATTGCAAAACTCCAAACTGAACTGTTATTGTCTTATTCAATCTCTGAAACTATTTTTGGAGATATAATTATGGTTTTAATAATACAACAAGTTATGCCTACTGTGGAACATGACAGTTCCTGCAAGCTGATCATCTATTTTCCATTATCCCCTTTACTAACAGGAATCTGACTTTTTGAGAGTAGCAAACATGCACAGCTAAAATGCTTGCCTCATCAGAATGCTGTGTAGCACTCGGAACTACTATTTATAACGTACTTGTCAGAAACCACTGGCATTTAAAAAAAAAATTGTTGAAAATGTTACGGACGATGAATATGTGCCTTTTGCCTTCTGACCTTCTTCCTCTCTTTAATGTAGATGCAATGCCCAGAAGCACAGCAGCCATCTTCCATTCAGGAGGATGAATGCAACATATGAAAGATGGCAGAGCAGAAGAACAGAGTTTGTGTCCTCAGTGGCATCTTTTAAGCCACTAAATTGACTATGGATTACTATCCCTGGGCCTTCTGTTACATGTTGAGGAGGAAAGGAGGAGGGAACCTCATTCGATTAAGCTACTAGATTCAGGGCTCCATTATATCTATCAATAGATCATCTGAAGGGATATGCCCAATTCTGATTAAAATATACCATTCATGGAGGAATTCATCAAAAATTACCGTATCAACACACAAAACAACCAAAATGGACACCGAAGTGTTTATTAACAAATAGTTTTAGAACTCTCGCTGATTCCCCACAAATATTTACATATAGAGACATAAACACACAGTTATGTCCACACATACAAGCCTTTCATAGCAATCATATACTTAATTATACTAAACACTGGCTGAAATAAGAGTACTTTCCTGAGTACATTATCTTTTTTTTCTTTTACTATATTATGTAGAAACTGTACATCTAGTATGCATTGATAAATTTCAGGATTAAAAAAATAGTCTCTTCCGAGCTACTATGATTTCAAATATAAACAGAGATAATTACCAAGTAGACCAGAGGTGGACTCCTCTCCCCAACTAGTGGGATAGCAGGTAAGTGACAAGGCATTCAGAACAGGGAGTTCTGGATTTGGCCTATAAAGTTCTTCTGCTCTTTATATGAAGGGCACTGGAACATTATAACATCTGAGCCTCAGATTCCTCATAAGTAAAATGGGGACAATGCTATCTCTTTTACTTATCATACAAGGATTTGCAGAGGATTAAATAAGATATGATAAATAATTTCCCTATAAACTATAAGTTACTACCTAGATCAGGGCACCATGGTTATGGTCATCATGTAAACTTATTATGTGGGAGATAATTAAAGAGCACATGGATTATCAGACCTGGTGCTTTTACCTCTGGCCCTTAACGACTGTTAGCCATTTCATTAGTAATAAAACAAATGAAGCAAGAAAAAAAATGCAGAACCTAAAACTCAAAAAAAGTCTACCTGATATTTTTCTTTTGTGGCTCTGGGGATTGAACCCAGGGAAGCTCTACTACTGATATCCATTCCCAGCAATTTTTTGGGGGGAGGTGTTACTAGGGACTGAACTCAGAGGCACTTGGCCACTGTGCCACATCCCCAGCCCTATTTTGTATTTTATTTAGAAACAGGGACTCAATGAGTTGCTTAGCACCTTGCCATTGCCGAGGCTGGCTTTGAACTCATGATTCTCCTGTCTCAACTCCCAAGGCTGGCTTTGAACTCATGATTCTCCTGTCTCAACTCCCAAGACACTAAGATTATAGGTGTATGCCACCGCACCTGGCAATTCCCAACCTATTTTATTTTTGAGACAGGATCTCACTAAGTTGCCCAGGCTGGCTTTGAGCTTGCAATCGTCCTGCCTCAGCCTCACCTAGGATTGCAGGTGTGTGCAAATGTGCCAGGTTGAATTTATTATTATTAACAATTTTTTTTAATAATCATAACAAAAGTTTTCAGGGAGAAGGGAAGAAAAGAGATGAAGCCAAATAGTTGAAATGATGGGCTAAAACTGCAATGTACTGGATAACGGAAGCATAGCCCTACACATTATCCTAAAATAACAGGGAACTTACCCTTTTAAGAAAATAGTTTTCTATGACTTAATATAGTGGTTCACTAATTATTGAACAATAAACAGAAAACTGGGCAATAAAAATTCCTTCTAGAAAAAAAGCCTCTTAATTTTAAAGCAAATAAACACTTCGGCCCGCTAGGAAATAAAGCCCAGTCATCTCACATGCACTGTTAACATCTTTAGGTTTCTAGGGCTTCCCACCCAGCCTCCCACTTTCTCTACCTCTAGCATGCCCCACCCTGCCTGCAGCCACACATACGCAAAGATAGAAAGGGAATCTGATAAATCTAACTAAATGAGCCCTGCAACTTTAATGGGAGTCTATAAGAATACATCAGGGCAGATGCAGAGACAGTCTTAAGGCAGTAGCAGTGGGAGCAGTTGGGTAGTTCGGGACTATTTGCCAAAGGGAACAACATTAATGATTTAAGTTATTAGAGCATGTACCCATGTCCTCAATTAAGTAAAGACTCCATAAAGAAAAATAAGTGCACATTCCTTTCCAGGAATCCCGATAGCTCAAACATCAGAAACACCATGTTAATGTGCTTTATTCCAATGACACAGGCCGCTAGTCTCCAAAGGACTCCACTCTTTTTGTAGGAATATAGTTTCTGGGATGTAATGTGGGTTTACCTTGCTGTCATTATGCTGCATCAAAATGCAATCAAAATGCCCGTCTAGAAGAATAATAGAAGACAGAGTAACTGCAGATAAAAGCATTCAAGGGAACAGGGTACATATGAGTAGTGAAAAAGGTAGTGTGTAAACTGCTTAACTGATTCTTCAGATGATGGCTGTTGCGAAAACATTTGTGATGGATGATTTCCTGCCACATCAGCCTTTTAAGGGGGTATCACAGAGGCTGTTGGTTGTTTTGTTTCAAGCAGGGTACTATCTACTTGTTAAGTCTATGACTCCCTCCCCTAACTCTGGTTTTTTAATTATAAAAAGCTACATGCATTCATTTACACACGACCTTAGCCAGGAGGCGGAGAAGTGATAGATGCCTTATTTTTGGTTGACTTATATTTTCAAATGCCAGGGCTCTTCCCATCCAAAATCACTTCTTCTAGGAGGGAGAAAGTCTTGAACAAGCTTTGCTTTAACTGATTCTACCTCAAGTGAAGCCAGTGCTCTGGTAAAATATCCTTTACTCTAGACAGGGAAGCCTTGTCTTCCACATGAAAATGTGTGCCTCCTTTGGGCTTCAATGCAGGCTATCAGACTCCAATCTACAAAGGATACCAATATGACAGGTAATTTCCCAGGATGGAGGAAATCATTTGCAGCAGAACACTTCTTAGGGAGGGTTCTCTGTGTTGTTAGGAGGAATACTCTAATACACCACTCATTCCTCAATCCCTAAAGGTGATTCTAAAAGAATGATAGCTGGTATCTAAATTGATATACTCTGCTCTAAGGAAGTTGTGGGTTTTCTCAGATTTTTTTTTTTTTTCTTTCAGGCAAGGATACAAATCAAGCTTGCAGCTGAACTGCCAGGGGGGTTAAATATTTTTCACTTCAGTCTACAAATAAATGTGGAAAAATCAAATTATTAATCAGTCCTAGGTACTCTCTCCTTCTCTTTGTGTCCGCTCTACTGTATATTTACACTATTAAAAAGTGGCTTAGGCACATAGCCTCCCTTGAGCCAATGCTTTCTGTTCATTAAACTAAATACTGAGTGCCAGGATAGCATGTCCCCAGCGTAAAACATGCTATTAACCCCTTTTGTGAGCCAAATAAAATTGTCAGAGCAGATTTTTTTGATAGAGATGCACTGAACAGGAAAGAACCCAGGATATCATTCTGGGCCCACCAGAAATTCTGCCGCAGGTGTTCAAGTCTGCATGGAGGAGAACACAGAGACTTTGTAGAATGCATTCCACGAGATGAACAGCCCTCAAGGTGGAGAATAACATTAGTCCTCAATAGTGCTATGTTTTACAATAGGAATTAATTAAGCAGTAAACCGTGACAGGACATGCATCATGGTATCATAATCACAAGCCTCAGCTGCATTACAAGGCAAAAGGCCAAAGACTGAGAGCTTTCAACCAGCCTGGGAATGCAATTAGGGTGAGAGGCTGTGTGCCCTGGGGTGCCTTTTTTGCCAGGTTAAAAATTCATAGATATTACTTTCTCCCAGCAGAATACTAAAATAATCCACTTGGATGGAATTCTACTAAGCTTCCTTCCCTCACAATTCTCTCAAAGGTCAAAATAAAGGACAACATTAAATTAGGAATGCCAATGACACCACAAGGTAAGTCCCTGCCCAGTGGCACACTGTCCCTGATTCGTTATCTGTGCTTTCTCTGTGAACGTGCCCCCACCCAACTCAAACATCTGTCTCTCTTTCCTGTGAGACTCACAATTTAGGCCTAGCTTGGGCATTAATAGCTTTCTTGGTCAATTCTTCCACAGTGGTTCAGAGTTGGTATCTGGGAAGGGATGGGAAGATCAGCTAATAGATTTACCGTCGGCATTAGTCAATTAACCCCAAATAATTGGTAAATGGCAGGCAATATAATTTTCCCTTCTATAGGAGAAAGCTGAAGAAAAACACACTTGGTCCTCTATATCTGTGGGTTCTGCATCCTCAGATTGAACATAAATTGAAAATATTTTGGAGGGGGGAAACTGTGCTGAACATGTATAGATTTTTTTTTTGTGTGTGTGTGTTTTATTCTCTAAACAATACAGTATAGCAGTGATGACCAAAGAATTTACATTGTTTTAGGTATTACGAGTAACCTAGAGATGATTTAAAGAATGGAGGATGTGCACAGGTTATATGCAAATACTATGCCATCTTAGACGAGAGAGTGGAGCATCACAGAATTTAGTATCCAATGGGGACCTGAAACCTGTGCTCTGTGGATGCCAAGGGAGAATGTACTTGCAAAGTACTGACTTAGGTTAAGCCACTCAAATCCTGCTCCCCCTGACTCCCATACTCACTTCAGAGAAAAATGCAAGACATGTAACTTATCCACAAATAAGAATCTAGGTCTGTAGACAAAGTCTTTTGTTCAAATCTAAAACTTTAGAAGGGTTAAAAGTTTATCAGACCAGTCAGGAAACTTGGCGAGTTTGAGAGTGTGTATTTATAGATTTAAGCAAAAATGTACACAGAATATAAATGTGACCATCAACCATTAAACATTTACAAAATAATTCACACACAGCTGGGGCAGATTAAGTACTAATTTCCAGTCATTTGAAAGTAGTAAAAAAGAAAAAAATTTTGAAGTGAAACAATTTGCAAACTCGCCCTGGAATTTGGACGCACAGACTTTTTGGGTGTTAAAAAAAAATCATTTTATCAATAGCCACTGTTAATACAATAAAGGCATGAACTCTAACTGTACAAAAACTAAAACCCACTTTTCTTATCTTCTCAAAACATCACATTGTATTAATAGAAGTTTCCTCACCCTACAAGCATTTCACAGTTGAGTTCATAATAATAGAATGTACGCTTAACAAGATAAGGGAAATGAAGAAAATATTTATTTTCCTTAGAACGGCACTGGAAAAAGGTTACTAAATTCAATCACAAATGTTTATAACACTTGACTCAAAATTCTTATCACTGTTTTCCCATGAAACCAGAAGCTTGGTCCCAGTGGCTCCTACATTCCTACTGTCCCCTCCCTTACCCCATATTACAACATTAGCCACTGACTACACTGGGGAAGGAAAGAATCACCATGGAGCTAGAAGCTGACTTCTAGGCGGCCTCAAAAATCAGAACCCTCCCCAAATACTTCAGCAGGTGCCATGGCCCCATTCCAATCACAAGATGCTGCTGTGGCTCCAAGTGCTACCTCACAAGCCCAGGATAAAGCAGAGCCTGGGGTCTCCCAGAACAGTTGTGCTGAGAGGCATCTCTCACCTGTTGCAGAATGTGTCTTTCCCTCAGCGTCATCAACCTTCTGTGAAGTTCCACCAGCTCGTCCAGGTAAGCCTGGAAGAGAAGGGCACCCCAAGAACAAGCACTTTAGGAAGCAGTTGAAAAATAAGAAAGCACTCACAGGCGAAGTTGGACGCTCCTCATCCTACCATTCTACACAAGCCACTTGAACTCTGTGTCCAAAGGCCTTTGCCGACCAGGTCTGTCCTGGTTCCTGGTTGACCTTCACCTTTACCAAGCTTGCATTACAATGGGGGAGTAAGGAACTCTCTCACCTATTTACGCTCAACAAAAGTCCAGTGGGCAGACTCACCTTACTCCAATAAAGTATATACAAGGATTGGGGGAAATTCAATGTTAAATTGTAGGTTTTAACATGTTATCACAGGCTTTCATTTTTATCCTTTCATTTTTTAAATTCTTTAATCTCAGAAAAAAAAAGCTTAAGTTTGAAGATGGGAGTATCAGTGCACATTACCAGGTAGGTTACAGCAAACTCTTAATTAAAAAAAAAAAAAAAAAAAAAAAAACGACTCCCAATTGTACCAAACATTTCAGATAAACAATGACAGCAAATGACCAAAGAACAAAATAATATCAATAATATCTTATAAAAAACAGATCACTATCCCAATTACCATCTGGTTTATGAAGAGCTCCCTTAGAAGTGCAGAGGGGTACTTTTCTTTCCATATGTTCAAACTCACAAGTCTTTATTAGTGTGACTGCATGGGTACCCCCAGAATCATTTTCAGTAAGGGCAAAAGAAAGATTTACAAAGCTTTAGAGAGGTCTTCTTGCCCCTGCAAACACATTAGGGACCTTCCTTTTCCAGGTGACTTAAGCACTACCAAGTCTTGTAGTCAGATTTCAGAGGCAAGATGCACACAAACACCCTGCAGTGGGATCAGAGGTCTTGCTCACTTACATCTCACAATCTTACCTCCCAATTCAATGTGTTCAAAATCCCTTGGAAATGTAGGCCCACGTCAAATGGTAGCATATGGTCAAGCTTAATAATGAAGACATGAGCAAGGCATGGAAAATAAACTACAAAGCACAGGCATGAAACACTCATCGTGTGGAAATCTTGGGCATTTCTGATGAAGAAAATGGAGGGACAGCTAGCAAGTATGATCAAGGGAAACCAGAAGACAAGAAGGCCACAGCACTCACACCAATGGGCTGGAAACCTACCTTGTCACATTCACCATTCTTTATTTGCTTATCCGATTTGCTTTGCTTTATTGGACTCTTCACTTCAAGAATCTAGGGATCAAAGAGAACATTGTGTTAAATTTTATTTCAAGCACCTGCTAGCTAACCTCCCACATAAACAAAGGTACTTACTCCATGAAATACCAGACAATAACATTGTTTACCAAATGGCATTTCCCCGCTATAGTTTTCCTTCTATTCTAATCTCACTTTTGCTTGGAAAATAAATTACTTGTCTCTGAAATGCTGAGTCAGAGCAACAGAACTTTAAAAAAAAGTTGATAAGGAAATTGATCTAAGCTTCCAAAGCTGCTTCTCTTTTGTGACAACACTCTCACACATATGTACAGCAGCTGAGTTATTCTGAGATTACAGTCCCCTCGGGCAAGAATTTTTTCCTCTTCATTCTGCTGTTTCAGCATGACTACCAGTGCTCAGTAGGCTAGGGATGATAAAAACAAACCCTCAGATGCCCTCTACAGTACCTGCCTTTCAGAGTCTCAAATAACTCGTATTCACTAAGCTGACACTGAAACTTCCTTTAGGAAGGAAGGTGGCCATCAGGTATACTCATGCTCCAGTCCGGGATCCTGCAACTCCAGAAACAGACAGGACTGTCTTCTGTGCTTCAAGAGATGGTGTGATAACACATGGTAAGATGCCAGGCACCTTTCCTTTGATCTGGACCCACTGCAGCTTAGGGTCTTAACAGTAGTCCTGTTCAGAAGCTTGGAAATGTAGGCCCACGTCAAATGGTAGCATATGGTCAAGCTAGGGAGTTATATTTCTAACTAATAAAAAGGAGATGACTATTATTTAATAAATGTAGCTGATTTATTAGGGTCTTCAAAATTCTGAGGGAAACAAGTTTTAAATGGCACTGGCTTGAAAAGGCCGAGCACCCTTAAAATGTATAAATGGCAAGAAATGTGTACAGACATAAGAAGCAAAGCAATTTGTCTTTTTCACTGTAACCTTATTTCCAAGTGAGTTGTTATAACCAGAGACTAATATTAAGGAGGAAATGCCAAGTAAAGGACTTCCTTTAACAAGTTTCATATTCCTTCCACTCTTCCCTCGACTATCCCCTGCCCTACCTCAGGCATGGCTTTGTTCTCAGTGTGCCATATTCCATAGCACAAAGAAAAAAAATCGAAGAACCAAACTACTCTATATTTGCACTGTCAAAAACAGGAGATTGGGCTCAGAAGAACCAAGTTCAGGCCCCAGCCTTATCATTTTTTGGCCCCAAAAGATGAAATGAGGAAGTGGAATGAGATAACACTCAGGTTCCCATTCCGGTTTAAAATTTTATACTACTAATAAGCATTTTACTTGTCAAAGCTAGGACCACAACCTTCTGGGAAAGACCAAATAGTCCTAAATGGGATTATTTCTCTTTGAATTGAAAATAAAGCATGGGTCAAGAAGTATGCTACCAGTAGTCTCTCCTGAGATTCACACTTCCTTCTTCATTTTTAAAACCGAGATAACCAAATGACCAATCTGACCAGGACGAGGGACAATATAATACTTTTGGCAACAAAAGGAAATTACTGAGTAGCAGCTGCAAGGCGATCATTTTTGTAAAGTGCTCCCTGTGAAGGAAACCAAACACTCCACAGCATTCAGAATTTCCTCCTCTCTGTTGGAAATGAGACCTCCAGGGGAAAATCAGCATCGAGACCTAGGAGTAAGTAGGTCAGTAGATGGCAGTCCTAGCCAACTCAGACACCAGGCTGGGCCTTGCTGAGACAATCCTGGGAGATTTCAGGCAAGAGGGAGAAAAAAAAAAAAAAAACTCCACTGTGCCTTGTGCACTGGAGAACAGAATTTCCTTCCCATCACATCCCGCCTTCCATGGTCCCATCCCCCATTTGGTGCACTCTGGGTGTTGAAGTGCTGTGGACGCTATTTTTGCAATGGAACTCTGCTAACTAGGTTTAGAGGGTCCTGCCACATTCTCTTCAAAGCAGAAAACAGAACATTTGGGAGCTTAAGTCCCACCCCACGCATTCCGTAAGTGCTACAGCACAGAAGGCTAAAATACATTGAAATCCTAGTTTCTTTCTTCTGGAGGCTGCAGTGGCAGGAACAAAAGCTCCGGGTGTCAGTGACCCGCCTCAAGTTACTGAGTGGCTGCCCAGAGAGGGCTCAGTTAATCTTCCTTCTTTGATCTCTCCCTGCTCCAAAATAAACAGCTTTGTCAAAACCTCATTCTGAGAGAGTTGAGCCATGCTGAAGACAATTGTTTTATTTATGATCATTTCTTATCTTTAGGGAAACGACTCCAGAATATAAAAGCACAACACCTTGTCTTCCAGAGGCTTATTTCAAACCAGTTTAACTGGATAGACTCTCTTTAATTTCATTCAGCATGCCTGGCAGGCTGAAAGGTGATTTATGATATTCTGAGTATTAGCTCAGGTCCAATGGATCACTTCCTTCCTTCAAGTCCCCTCACCTCTTCCCTTCCTGCCACACTCTGAACTAAAAAAAGATATGGTATTTTGTTTTCATTTGAAATTCACACAAGGGAGGTTTGGGGTGGGAAAAAGTCATCTCTAGTTAAAATGGTACAATACTCGTTATTATTCCCTATTAAACTATACTAAAGAAAACACAAACACCCAGACTGCTGAAACAAACCAAGAGTAGATATAATAATCTCAGAAAAGAGCCTGATTGTGATTAGTAGTATTTCTGTCCTTACTCTGAGGATATGGCTTGAGAATCAAATTTTCAAGGTGATATTTTTCTGTATCCCTTCCCTTAGAATGACAACTCAATTATTCAGAGGATGGATTCTCTACTGATAGGAGTTACATTAAACATGAAAAAATCTAACAATATCCAGCTAATCACTTGCTTTGTTAACTTGGGGCTCCCGCCTTTTTTCGGGGGGGGGGGCCGTGGGGGAGTTAGTCTGATAGTGTTAGAATCAATTAGCACATTTCCTCTTTCTGAGTCCCTGGAAGATTTGAGAAAAGACAACAGGCAATTCAGCTTTGCCACTGCTTTATGGAAATTTGCAAGTACCTTGCAAACTCATTATTAACTGCAGGTAAAGAGCAGCCAAAAGGCAACAAAGAAGGAAACCCAGAGTCCTCCCATTTCAGAATTAGGTTTCCCCAGTAAGTTCTCATCCTTTCTATTTGATGTGCAATTTCAGACACCACTTTGCACTTACATGTTGTTCACGCTCTCTCTCACATACCTTTAAATATAAGACAAAAACATTCCAGACTGTAATTTAAGTGACTTTTAGGCATTCTGAAGTTTTTACTATCTCTATCAGTACAGAGAACTTAGAAATACAATAATTTTTTTTAATTCCATAAATGCTGACTTAAAAGGATGGCATCACACCTGAACTAGGACAGGTGATTTAAGGGGGTTAAGAAACTGGTCTGGACACAGTTTTAAAAATCTTTTCTGGCTCTCTCAGCTCCAAGACATAGGCCCACGGAGTAATACTTCTGTGATACATGTATTTCCTTCCCCAACTAGCTGAAAGTGAAGGCACACAAGCTTTCTTATGATGTTACAGGCACATGGAGAAAGTGACATTAACTGAGCACTGCTGGCAGATTGATGATTTGCATGTGTGAAGCTACATTTGTAGACTAATGCCATAGAACCAGTGGAATGCTACTTAACTGGATAAAGAAATTTTTACTCAGATTTGTCCAGATAGATGATACTGTTCATTTTTGGCTTTGTTTTGCTAGACAGGTGAAAGAGGAAAATAGTTCGATAAAGAATCCACATCTTTCCCTAAAGCTAGTGTCAGCTCAAGACTGCACATTCAGGAGGGGTTTGAAGGGCAAGACAAGAGCTTGTAGGAGCTACACTCACTCAGCAAGGCCTGTCTTCATGATGACAGGGAGGGTTGCTGAAGGAGACTGATGAGGGTCCAAAGCACAACCTTGTGCCTTTCACCCGGAGTACTGTCACCAAGAGCATCCTAGTTCTCATACACTGTCCACTGGAAGCAGAAATCAAGTCTAACTAGGTTTAAATCAGATACAAAATATAATTAAGGTCCAAATTCTTCTCTTTGACTAGTTCTTCCTGAACTAAAAGTTTGTAGAAGGATCTCCAATTATCTAGTTAACCAGCACAATGTTCCCCCCAACATCATGACTGGCCACATTTATGTCCCTTCTCTTTTTACTTTCTCCATTTAAAATACTTGACTGGTGGTGGGGGGCAGCCACGTGAGAGATGAGAGAGAGCCAGGCCCTGGGCATGGCTCAGACTCGAGATGAGAAGAGCCAGACAGCAGAATGTGGAATACAATGATGAGGTTGAGCTTTCACTGTGGAGGGCACAAAGAAACTGCAGCTGACCATTACAGGTTAGCTGGTGTGGCAAAGAGCACTGGTGACCTTCCTATCTCACAATGAAAGATTTAAGTTGCAGATGAACTTTATAAATGAATTTAAAATTCTAAGAGCTCTTTGCCTACACTTCACACAAAATGGAAAAAGAAAATGTCTTCATCGATAAAATAGCACTTTCCAACCAAAACAAAGATCACAGAATCAAGGGCAAGACTATTTGGAACGGAGGATACCTATGAAACTACACTTGTGGGAAAATACAGTTCTTTAATTTTCAAGTTAATATTCGTTTGGTAACTTGAATTAAGCAATTATTGTAGAGGTCACAGGAAATCTGCCTAAACAAAAAGATAAGAATAGCTTACAGTAATGAATATCAACTCAATGCACAATGAGGCTTTTTACAATATTCATGATACCTGAAAACAGTTTATTTTAGTAAGTAATGAAAATGTTCCTATCTTATTCATTACAGCCTTCAAAGTTCTGCTTAGAATATATTCTGAGCTGTCAAATTAATAAGGCTTCCTTAAGCTCAATTCATAATAATGATAATGACCACAATTTTCTGTGTTTAATTATTCCTCACAATCTCAGGTGATGATAATCTTCTCTTGGATGAGAAACCTAAGACAGAATACCTATAATAATAAACATCTCCTATCAGCTACAGAATGCCAAGGAGGAACTGTGCATCCTTCCAATAACTATGAGGTAGGAGTTAACATCATTCATAGATGAAGGAATTGAGAATCAGAAAAATTAATTTCCCACCAGCAAGTTACTGGTGGCAAAGCAAAGAACCTGCCTTTTCACTAGTCCCAAACACCATATTCTTTCTAATTAAGCCACCTACTTAATTGCTGAGAGGAATAATATATAGAAATGAGGAGTAACTGGGCAACAACATGGGTTATCATCTCTTCCTCACCTCCTTTCCAACTTCTCATAAGTCCCTGTGCCCTGTGTTTATTCCTCAGCTTGGGGATTCCCATCTATTTGCCATTAAAAGAGACATTGTTTAAGCTTAAGAGGTAAAAAAGTGTGCCAACTAGGTAGAAGTGATCACATCTAGTTCCACAGAGTCTTGTAAAGTGTGAACCCCACAACTTACCTGGTTGTTGTTGGTTTTTAATAATGGCGGTGGAGGTTCATGATGTAGGGGTGAAGAAGCAGAGCTGCTTTCACTATCACTGCCATCACTTAAGCTAACTCTGAAGAGGAACACAGAAAAATCACAGGCATGACTACAAACAGGTGGTTCTTGAAATACCTGTGCAAACTGTGATGAAAGGCGAGGGATCCAGACACTGACTATGGGAAAGTTCATTCTGACTCAGAACCACTAACATGGATTGGCACATACTTCATATCTGGAACCATGGAAAATGCTTCACCTGCTAGTTCTCTTTTTTTCATAGGCGAGTAAAATTGGGCCTTAAACTGAATCACTCATCGAGGATCACAGGGGTAAAAGTGGCAGCTCTAGGACTCAAACCCAAGCAGTGTGACCCAAAGCTAGTGCTCAGCCACTCTATTGTACTGATAAATGAAATCTGTTGTGCCAACCCCACCACCAGTCATTCCCACTGTGCCACGATTCAAGGATAACTCTAGTTCTGATTGCTAAAACATTGGAAAAACAGTCCATCTACACAAAGAAATGGTGTGCTTCGGATACTGCTTTAGGAAAATAAGATGGTATCTTTCAACAACTAAAGACAATAAAAATACCATCTCCTCCCTGGTTTTTTCTTTTCAGCATAAAATGGAATTATCTTCTAACCAGAGAAGAGAGAGTTCTTTATTCTACTCTGCTGAATGTGTGCCCTCCTTCTGAAGCTTCCTTCAGTGTTTGCTCCCTCTCTCTGGTTCTACAGTAACCTAATATAATATTCTTTTCAGAAACAGAAAATGCTTTAGAAATCAGGTTAGTTTTTCTTCCCCTCTGAATAGGCAATCACATTCTAGCCCTATTATATATTCAGATAGACAGGATACATGATAGGAAATGAAAAGGATACACTGGGACATCCTTTTAGCAAAAACTGATGGAACTTGTTTTTCTTAACTAAATTACATTAATGAAGTGTTCAGCTGAAGCCTGCTTTAAAATGCTTCTCGACTGAAGTGGAGGGCTGAGTATTTAAACTGATTAAACAGTTGAGACTTCACAAGTGCAGCGCAGATCAAATGTTACACTGGCACTGCCGTGCTAAGAGCACATGTCAGGTGGGGAAAAGAAACTGTCCCCAACAACGTGTATCTACATCAGACAACTCACAAATATGTGATCTGACCTGTAATAACTCAGGGGATGGGGCAGAAAGTGTGTGGACAGCAGCTAATCACAGAATTATTCTGATCTTCTAAATAACTTGGAAATTGCCTAAATAGGTCAGATTTTTTTTTCTTTTCTTTCTTTCTTTCTTTTTTTTTTCTTAAATCAGCTAAACTGGAGAACAGCCAGTGGTCAGGATCTTGGTTGGTCTAAGTAAGTAACTAAGTAAGTAAGTATCAGACCACTTTTAGGTCTTTTTGCTGTTCCTATTTCTTCTTGCCAAATGGAAAGTTTCTAGAGGGAATTATTTTAAAAGCCAAGGCCATAAAGGTCCAGGTGAATTAGGTAGGGTCCAGGTGAATTTGGGAGAAAAGGTGAAGAAACAGTGTTTAGTATGGCCATAAGGTACAGTCAATGAGAGATCTAACAGGGCATATCCCCTACAGAGGCTCTTTCCAAAGAATACTGAAGAATCAGTAGTTAGGGAGCATACAGTGTGTCCAGTTGGGTTTAATACTACATCCTTTCTAGGAATTTTAGTGCTATCTACATGGTCGTGGATAATAGGAACAGACTTAATACAATATATCATAAATGTAATTGGATTTTTAATTCAAGTAGATTGATATTTTTTTCTACTCAAAACACATTAAAGTAAGCACGCCTATTTGTTTTCCTCATGATAAAGAAATGAAATCCTCAAGGCAATTTCAAGTTGACTATTAATTATAAGTGACATGAATTACCATCTTATAATGTGGAATTATGCCTCACAGCATTAAAGCTACTTAAGGAACCTAATTGTCAGCACACTTAAAAGGAATTTATTTTCTGGAAAACACACACAGGTGATCCTAGTTTTAATTAGGTCACACACATCATTCACTGCAGCCAATTATGTATTTCTAGCTACAAACAGCAAACACATTTCTTCACCTTCTGAGACTACTGCCAGCAACAGATCTATATACATGAAAATGGACTATTTCAGCAGTCAGTCCTGACACATGGCACATACTTTCAAATATTCAGAACTTCTAATGTGACTTTTTCCTATCAAGTTTTTAGAGGAAAAACTCTCTTCTTCCTGAGAAAAAAGGAAAAACAGTTCCCCTTAAAGGTGACTGTAAGCATGCTGACATGCCCCAACTTCAAATGAATGTGACCACTTGCTGCTATTATTTATGGTGTTTCACACTTGTGCTCTGATGATACCAGTAAGCCCAGTGAAAAGGTGTGACTCCACAGAGAACCTCTCTCCCTCCAAGACACTCACCTGCGACTTCGGCTGCCTCCTCTATTTACAGGTCTTTCCATTTCTGAGTCGTTGTCATTATCTTCTGCCTCATCCGATTCCTCCTCATTGTCATCAGAATGCAGATCTTTCATTATAGACCTTAAAGGACCTGAGTAATGATAGTGAACCACAGCAAATCAAATATGATTTCAAACAAGCTTTGCCCTATTAGAACAAGGGAATGCTTTCCAGCACTGAATGTCAGTTAAAGGTAATTATTATCCTATACAGTCATACCATTTGTAAGAAAAATTTGGTTCAGTGTCTGGAATGCAAGCTCTACCTAAACATAATAGATTTTTTTTTCTGTTTTCATAATAGATTCCCCAAACTGTTCATTAAAGAATCTCTATTTTCTAGACTTTTTTTTTCAGTTTTTCTCTTCCCTAAGAAAAATTACACCTAAAAAGAAACAGATCTATTAGTAAATTGGATGTTTTGTTAGGTTAATCCATGTATTGAAAAGTTGAGATTAATAAATCACTGTGGTTCTAACTTGTTCTTGGCAATGCAGTCTTTGTGTTGTAGTTTTTGATCTATTAAGGTTTAGCTGTTCCTTTTATTTCAAGGTCAATTTCAGGTCAAGCAAGCATTTCAGTCAAGTTCAGATTATAAAGTATTTCAATTCCATGGTGTAATGTCCTATCTCTGATCTTCATATTGATCTTGGACAGAAGGTCTTGTTGCAACAATTTTATACAGCCAATTTTTATTTTACTTTTTAAGAAATTCCTGGCAAAATACCAGCATGCATTAACATAAATAAGGCCATGTAATAAATCAAGTGCCCAGAAAATTCAAGACAGTATCCAGTATTAGATGGGAGGGAAAAAAAAAAACATGAAGCCATAACTAATTTTATTCTAGGGTTGAATAGAAATGTGTTCGCTCGCGCGCACACATACACACTCACATTCTCCCCACCCCTATTCATCACCCCCCCCATGCATATACCTTTTACTATATGCTAAGTGTGATGAAAAACAAGATAGTTCTTTTAAATTTTAACCAGAAGAGATTGTAAAGACAATCAAGAAGGTGGCAGAGGCACTTCCATTTTGGATCAGGCAATTCATAAAGTCTAATTTATGATACATATATCTAAATTATCAGTTATTCAGTTCTAAAATAAGTATTTACTCCCTGAAATTGCACATTCTAAAAACCCAAACTTTCTCTGCTTTCATTGTGGGCTTATTTCTTTTGGAAGTCAATGGAACAAGATCCCTGAATAGCCAAAACTATCTTTTATTTTTTTTTTCTGGAAGCTTAGCCTTAGTCCAAATACACAAAACAGTTTAATCCCTTTCAAAACATACAAGGTTGTTAGGAATTCAGTTGTGATTGATGAAAAAGATGATGTTTAATAAAAGAGTAAAAACCAAACTATTCTTTGATACTAACTCATTTTCTATGTAAAAAATAAAGGGGGAGGCCTCATTTGAAGATTTTGCACATATACCGAAAAAAAAATTAGTTGTATGTTCTAGTTTAATTTTTTTATTCAGGGTTTGGGTTAACAGTTGAGCATAAACAGTTAAAAAAAGATATTAAAAAATAACAAATTTACATTTGCTAAAAACAAACTCTATTAATCTGTAGAAAAACAAATAAAGGTATCTAAGGAGGAAGAGTGAAAACCCATTTCTCTCAAGTCCCGATTTTGATATTGTATTTCCTTTGGGAACTCCCTAGAATGGGCTGTTGTCTATAATCCTTTTGTAAAATGGGAATCTGATGGCAGGGACTGGAAAAAGGGGGAATTTCTAGAGCCTGGCCTCATATATCAGAACAATACCCAAGTGCATTCCTAGGGGAAATAAATACAACTGCATAAAAGTCGAGTTACCATTCAAATAATAAAACAGTAGAAGATAGGTCATAAATCAACTCATTAAGATGTTTTATGAGAAAAATGTCTCCTAGTTTGTCTGGGAGCTGTTGATACGATACCTTGTTGCCTGGTCTGGGACGGTGTGAAGCTGGAGCTGGAGCTGGAGCTGGAACTGGCAGGACTGGGCTGCTCCGACTTCAGAGAAGAAGAGAAAAACATCATCAATAACTTTATGGGACACTACACATCTAAAATTGAAAACAATATAGTTGCTCAAAGCAGCCTCTGCAAAAACAGCCTGACACTGCACAAGAAAAATGACTATATATTTCATGATGTCAAAAATACTAGCACAGGAACAGTTATGGGGTCCTTTTTCTTTGACCACCTTATTTTATTATATGCAGAAACAAGTATAAAAACCCAAGGATAAAGAGATAAACACCTGAGTGTTACATAAAGAGAGAACCTGGCTTTGACTTCACTCCTGTTTATTACTATGCACATCTCTTTCTAAAAGATAGCCCGATTACCCTTTCTGCAATGTTTGATTGACTCAACTGGTTAAAACATAGTGGTAATGAGGCCAAGGTCATTAGTTCAATCACATTATGCGCCAGTTAATTTCACTCTGGTCCAAGGCCATGACCCAACCCTAACCCTGTCCACAGTTCACAAATGTAGGCCAATGTTCATGAGGCCCAGCCAAGTCCCACAGATGAGTCAGAGAAAAGTGTTGCCACTATTTAAAAAAAAAAAAGAAAAAGCAAAGAAAAAAAATTAAAAAAAAAACAACTTTTTAATTCCACAGCCTATGAATGTCAGGGAAAAAAACCACAATAGATACACCTTAGTCTCTCTTACTCTCAATGAATTCTCCACATCCTTTAATATCCTTAGCAGGTTTTACATCTAACTTCCAATCCACCCAACTCAATTCTCTTCCTTCTCCAAACCTACTGAAAACACACTAGATGGATCACCTGTTTCTTACTAGCTACGCTGCAGTGCTTATAACATACTCCTCCTATGTGCTGCCTCCTGGTCTTTTCTTCCAGATAAAGAGGAAACACCAGCACTTGATACAGCAGGGTCTGCCTTATGCTTTCTATTATACCTGCACACTTAGCACTATGCATTATATACAGCAGACATTCCATGTTTGTAACTAAAGGCAGCACATTAGGGCCTCTGTTCCATTGTCTGCCAGATTTGTGACATTATAAAAGGTGGAGCAGACAACTGAAGAGAACTGTGCAGTCACCGATGAGACCATCAACACACTTAAATTTCATATATTTAAGATCAAACTTATTCTTAAATAACTTAGTGATATTGATATGTTTGGTTATTTCTATTCATTTCTAATGTGCTCATAGTCTCAACTATATATTCATATTATCTGAGAAATACCTGAGGTCTTTCCATGTATAGGACTCTTTCCCCCCTTTGTTCAATGAGAAATCAAGTTGGAGTGTGAACTAAGTGCACAATCAGAAGCTGCTAAATGAGGATTACCATTCCTTCTCAGTTTATACTGCAGTTTCTCACCACTGATTTTTTTTTCATCTCCCCTCCTAGCAATGAACCCCCACCCGGATCTCCCTAAACAGCACCAAACTCCAGATTCGGACACAAGGAAGCACTTTCAGGCATTCCTAATGCACACTTCACATCCTCAGACTGGATGGGAAAACAGGTGTCAGCAATCTACCACTCATTCTGCAGGAAAAGAGCCAGACAGGATCTCTAATGAGCAGCAGGCGGCCCACCAACCCTTCGACACTGCAAGCTTTTCTTGAGAATTGTAGTACAATGTCCTACACATTGCCATTTGCGGCTCACAAAGAAGAGTTGGTTTACAAGTACAAATGCCTGTGTGAGGTACTCTTCATTTCTGTTGAGTGCCTCTTCCACGGTTGAGCCCCAATAGTGAGTTATACAACTGAAAGGGCATTCAGTTAGCATTTATGTGCAATGCCCAGCTGTAAAACAGTTCTCCCAGGGCCCGGAGAGTACTCCTTTTCCTCTCCAACTTGCTCTTTTCAGCCATGAAAAGTGCCTGCAAATGGTATTATTTTGATAGCTCTGGAAACCATTTGGGAGCCAAAAAAAGAGGTTTCCTTACAGTGAGCAGAGAGCTCTAATTCCCCGTGCTGCCTGACCAGCACATGTTGAGCTGGACCTAAAGGAGCCATTCTGCTAGAGCTATTTGCTGAGAGTGATATGAACTAGGACAACAAAGGAGAACAGTGGCACTCTCTTCAAACTACCTGCCACTAACCTTGACCCATGTGCATCATGCAAAAGTCCAGGCCAGAACCACACTGAAAAGCACCCTTTTCAACTTCTTACCATAAACAAGGATAATAATTCTGCATTTGCTAATCTTCAGAAATAAGATAAATGACAAAACACACTAGGAGGAAAAGCCTTTTTATGCAACATTTAAAGTTAATGCCTTGCCTCTGACATAAAACACAAAGCATTTGGAAGGCTCACAGTAGCAGACACTTGAATTCTATAAGAATATTCAAATAGAAAGATAACAGCAAAAGAACTGGATGAAGAAAGTCAAATGTTGAATGATGAGCAGCAAAGCAATGTTCTGAAAGCCTTTAATAGTCAAGACAAGCATCTGTGGAATATTAGAGAGGAGTTTTAAAACCATTCCAGGCAGAGCCTCAGAAAAGGGATCTTCTCAGAAAAGGGATCTTCACAGAAAAGGGATCTTCACAGAAAAGGGATCACTGGAGAGCTTGTTAAAACACTGACTGCTGCCCTCTCCCAGGGTTCTTGATTCAGTGGATTAAGAAGGGTAGGTGAACAAACAAGAACCCAGGTGATGCTGAGACCACAGGGCCAGTAACAACCACACTTTTGAGAATCACTGATTGACCCAGCAATTGATAATCATAGACATGCACTAGAATTAGCTAGGAGAAGTCTATTAATTGGTGTTATGGTTTGGATGTGAGCCCTGGAAAGGGTAAATCTTTCCTATGTCCCCTTTCCCTCTTTTCTCTTTCTCTGCTTCCTTGCTACCACAAAGGGAGCAGTTTCCCTGTGCTGAATCCTTCTCCTATGATATGCTGCCTCACTTTGCATAAGTTGGCCACCCATGGACTGAGACTTCTGAAACTGAGTCGCAAATAAACTTTTCCTCCTCTAAGTTGCTCTTGCCAGGTGTTTTGGTCACAGCAATGCAAAAACTGGCTAAGGCAACAGGATTGAAGTAGAAATCCAAGCACATTTATAAAAAGTTCAACAAGCCAGGCGGGGTGGTGCATGCCTGTAATCCCAGTGATTCAGGAGTCTGAGGAAAGGAGAATCACAAGTTCAAATCCAGTCTTGGCAACTCAATGAGACCCTGTTTCAAAATAAACAATAAAAACAGGCTAAGAACATGGCTCAGTGGTTAAACACCTCAAAGGTACCAAAAACCAAAAAGTTCAACAAAAAGTATTAATAAAAAGTCTAAGTTGAGACCACTGATTCTGTTAGTTACTTCTTCTTTTTCCCCCCAATGGGAAAAAAAAAAGTTCCTTATAGAATTTTTAATTTGTGAAAGCACTGAGAATATATATCATGGGAAAAATTAGAAATGTATTGATTTTTCCAGAGGCAGCCTTCCTGTGTGTACTCTTCAGTGTTTTGCAAGAAAGCACTCTGACAGAGCATGGTTACCACTCAATAAAAACACTTATGGTGGTGGATGGACCTTACACTCACCCTGACTGGTACAGAATTCAACCAAATGTTAACCGCTCAAGAGCTCTTCTGCCACCAGAGAAGGCTGACCCTGTCTTCTATCTTAAGAGCTAACAACAGAACTGCAGCTCATTTAAAATATGTTTTTGATATTAAGAAGAACACAAATCAAGGATGATTATATAAATATAGGTTATTTAAATGTTTTTAAAATGTCTCCATAAACAAGATTGGATGATGATGATGATGATGATGATGATGATGATTATTATTATTATTATTTTTACTGAGGATTCATCCCAGGGGTGTTATACCACTGAGCCACATTCCCAGTCCTTTTTATTTTGAGACAGGGCCTCACTAAGTTCCTGAGGATAGCCTCGAACTTGTGATCTTCCTGCCTAAGTCTCCTGTAAATTAACATCTTTATATACCCTAATGATTGACATGATATATTATCCTCCATTTTAGACTCTCCTAAGAAACATTTAAAACATGTATATTTTTGAATGTGCATGCAGGGTGCATATGCTAAACCAAAAATTAAGAGTTAAGAAAGTTCACTGAGGTTTTGATATAGTTCCCTTGATGACTAATTTGAAATGTCAAAATCCATTCGAAATATCAAAATTCTTCCCACTAAAAATGGTTTTGCTTCTTGTTGATGTTATGGGTAATCAAACATCTACTAATGAAGTTTCTGTAAATGGTATGCTCCACAGTGAAAAATGCAGAGTTTAAGAATCTCACTTCTATTGCTTGATAGTTATGTTTTGGGGAAGATTGCTTAAGCATTAATTTCTTTACAGAGTAAAAGCACTGAAACTCATACAGAAGTTATATTAAAGCTGGGCACAGTGGTGCACACCCCAGCTACTCAGGAGGCGAAGGCAGGAGGATCTAAGTTGGAGGACAGCTCAGTGATAGAGTGCCCCTAAACTCAATCCCCAGGCCAGAGTGGGAGGGGTAGAAAGAGAGTAGTAGTAGTTATATTAAACTGATATAATAAAGAAAGTAAAAACACCTAGACCACAGCTGTTGCAGTGCAATCTTCTACATTATATGTCTATGCAAAAATCTTTGGAATAGATTTTCTACAGAGGACTCCTTTTGTCCAGGATAAGAAAAACCGTATATCTACAACTCCTAAAAGTGTTTCAGAAGGAATACCCGTCAAGGTAGATGGCAAGAGAAGGCTTGTAAAAACTGACCCTGTTCCTTACATGAGGAACATGCTTCCCCCTGGGTGGCAAGCCTGAAACCCTGTCTTTTCTAATGGGCAACTGTATTTATGAGCAGAATTTCAATGACTTGATTTTTAAAGCAACCTAAATAAAGAAAAGGGGGAGGGGGGATGATACACACCTTTCTTTCAGTGAAAAGAGATAAGAATACAGTAAATAGTTAAATTGAATAATTTCAGATAATCTCCCAATGTCCTTCACAAAATTTTTACCTCATCTAAAAAAATAAAATCTATTAGG